GAGGGGAGTGGGGGCTGGTGGGTGAGAGCGGGGGGGCTGGGAGCCAGGACTCCTGGGTTCTCCCTGTCTCTGGGAGGGGATGGGGGGTCTAGTGAGTTAGAGTGGGTGGGGGCTGGGAGCCAGGACTCCTGGGTTCTCCCTGGCTCTGGGAGGGGAGCGGGGCCTAGTGGGTTAGATGTGGCGGGGGGGGAGGGGGGCTGAGCCAGGACTCCTGGGTTCTACGCCCAGATCTGACCGCTGCACGACCTTGGGCAGTCCCCCCCTTTGTGCCGTTCCCCCATCTGTAGAGTGATGGATGAGACACTGCCCCCCCCCCGCCCCTCGGGGGTACTCGGGGGTGGGGTAACATCTCTCTGCCCCCTCCCGGCCTAGGCAGGCTCAGCCCGGCTGGTCCCTCGGAGCCCACAGGAAGGGGAGGGTGCGTGGCGGGCGGGGGAGGGGCACCCCTCCGCTCTTCTCCCCAGGGCTCTCCCCAGCCCGCGCCCCCCTCACCTCGTAGACCTCGTTCCAGCGGGGGCTCAGCTCCTCCTTGACGACGTGGCTGCGGAAGCTGTGCCCGCCCAGCCGCACCTTGGCGTACGGGTCTGACTTGCCCCGGATCATGCCGCCCATAAAGTTGTCCTTGGCGATGAGGTTCTCAGCTTCCAGCAGGTGAATGCGGATCACGCTCTGGGGATGAGGGGGGAGGAGGGGGAAGCGTTCACGTGACCTGCTCGGGGGCAGGTTCCCCCCCACAGCTGCCCCCGACGCTGCACAGGAGGGCCCCCCCCCCGAGCCAGCCCTAGGCTCGCTGCCCCCGTGAGGGCTCCGTCTCCACAGCCCGTTGGCGTCTCCACCCTGCTAGGAGCCCAGCGAGCACCTGGCGCCCTGGGCCGGATTCGAACCAGCCGCCTCGGGGTGCGGGGTCCATACGTCCCACTGGGGGTGAGCACATCCCCCACCCCCCGTACCTCGGTGCCGAACTGGGCGTCGGGGCTGGCGCGGCTGGGCCGCGGCGGCAAGTCCACGCTGCTGCCGGCGAAGGTGCTGGTCTCCACGTCTGACTGTCCCGGGGCGCACGGCCGGGGTGTGTGGCAGACCTCGGGGGCGTCCAGGAACAGGATCTGTGGGGAGAGTGGCGCTGGGCGTCACGGGGGGGGACGCGGCCGCCTGGTGGGGGCAGCCGGACGTTAACGGCCCTGGGGTGTCACGGGGATGAACCCCCTCCCTGGGGGCAGCTGATGGTGGCTGCAGAGATCTCAGCTCCTGGGGGACCCCCTCCCCCCGAGATCCACCCCCCACCCCGGGGCCAATCCCTCTGCCCCGGCTTCACCCGCATGATGAGCTTCATGTAGATGCGGCTGCCCGGGCCGGAGTTCTCCAGCTGGAACCACTGGTCCAGCGTCATGTCCTCGGCCGTCAGCAGGCGGGACAGGCGGACGCTGAGCGAGCCCAGGCTGGTCTGGCGCGTGTCGTCCTTCACCTGCAGGGGGCAGAAGGGCTCCCGTTACAGGGGAAGGGGCGGGGCTAGGACCAGGGGGTGGGGCCTGTCAGTAAGGGGGCGGGGCCCACCTGGATGTCGATGTCCTGATTGGCCGGGTCCTGGAGGAAGAAGCGGAAGGCGTCGTCCCAGACTGGGGAGCTGTTATTATAGACAACCTGGGGGGG